ACGCGATTCGCTAGCGAAAGCGAAAAACAGAGCGAATAACACGTCAGACATGACGTCGTTTCCGGCGAATTTTACCATTTCGCGAATCGCTTCGAAGTTCGGAACTGTCGAGCTTTTTCGCCAGCGAAAAAATTTCGCACCAATCGTATTCCCGCTAGTTGTCACGTGGTTCTTGTTGTTTTCAAGATGGCTACAGAAACTTTCTCACGCAATAGATTACATGTTGTAATAACGGATTTTAATATTTCTCTCACCCAGCATCGTTTTCTTTTTGACTTATTTTTCTTTCTCAATAAATAAACAAATGTGGTTAACGACGGAATATCGGAAGTGGCCATTTTGTTTTTCGATATGACGTTTTCACTTGCTTGCAAATGATTGGCTATTTAAAATTCGCAATCGCTTTTCGTTTTTGGTTGTAGGGTCAATTTCGCTATGCGAATAAAAATCGCTTTTCGCTTTTCACATTCGCTTTCGCTATTCGCTCAGTGTGAACTAAGCTTTACGGTAAAGAACTCTGCTTCTATTTATACTATTTTAGATGCGGTTTTTTGCGTTTTTGATTGCATTTTAATAGGGTACGTTAACAGAATGTACACTAAGAAGGGATTTTTCGATATTCCCCCGCTGGGGAGAGAGACAGCATTAAGGCTTACCGTGAAGAACTTGGCTTCTATTATATTATTTTAGATGTGGGTTTTTGCGTTTTTGATTGCGTTTTAATAGGGTACGTCAAGAGAATGTACACTAAGAAGAAATTTTTTGAAAAATTTCCCCCCACGGGGGAAGTGTTATACATTTATAATAGATACATTTTGAGCCACAACAACGCGTAAAGGGCTGCTAGTTACAGTATAAGATATAAGTCATAGATCTCTTTTCGTTCAGAAAGCGCTAATAGGCAGAGCCGGCCCTACCATAGGGCGAGCGGAGCAGCCGCCCCAGGCGCTAAGTTTTAGGTGGCGCCTCAGTGTTAAATAAAAGTAAAGGGTATAAATTAGGGGCCACCAAGGGGGTCGCCATAATAGGATCTCGCTCCATCCTAAAACTTGCCTCGGGCTGGCACTGTTAATAGGCAATGTATTCCGGTCCGACGCTGCTTCACTTGGGTGATCGGACGAGAACTGCTACTTACAGCGTGATACAGTCGTTGCCATGGAATTGTTTAATATGCGATCGGATTTAGGTTATGGTGTTATGGTGATTAGGTTAGCACTTTTTCAGTTAACGGCATTTGATATTTTCTATTAAATTAAATCATAAGCACGTGCATATCATTAATTCAGAATGCACTAAATGGTAACAATACGTGTTTTTCATATCATACAACTTTCTATTTGACAATGTTGCCCATTTTGAGGGACTGAGATTACAAAAGCCTTTTCCGATAGAAGGGCGGGAGAAAGCGGAAATTCGTTATCATTTAGCGCACGCCCGATAGAATATGCTTTGGCAAAACGTCTGAATGATTGTTCTATTAGTTCTTAAAATAATTGGCCGGGAGATCACCCTGTTTACAGTCATCCCTTGCTTAACGCGGGATTTCATTAATGCGCAAAATTAATTGCGGCAATATTTTTATATATGCAGCAGAAGATTTAATTTACGCAGTTTTACCAACTATCTTTAATTAACATACATACCTTATTTTGATAAACGCGATTTTGACACACGGGGTAAGATCGAAGAATTAATTAACCGCGTTAATCAAGGGATACCATAATTAACGTGGTTATTCAAATAAATAGCGCGCTGTCTATAACTTTTTCATCTTGCGGCTGCACTGTTTATAAGACGCAATTATTATGTTTATTATTTGGGAATTAAGTGTGACTATTATTGGACTGCAATTTGAAAAAATTGTAGAACTATAAATTCCCACTGTCGTTCGTCCGTCTGTCTTACCTAGATCTCGAGAACGGAGTTAGATAAATAAAGACCGAGAGGAAATATGGAAAGATTATATATAGTTAATCAGGGGCCCGATTGATTATATATAAACTTCCGGTTTCGACCAGAATTAAAAAATTTTCCATACTTGGAATTACATTGATGATCGGCATGCCTCAACTGCTAACAGGAAAAGTATGATGTACAGGAGCAAGACACTACTACTTAGAGGTGAAGAGCATATATTTAAAATTAAATAAATTAAAAATTGCAGCCCGGCATTGTAACTATGCCACAATAAATAGTTGCTCGTTCGAGTATAATAATTAATGAAATAAACCCGACAAGTTTTTGTTACTCTATTATTATTATTATTCGAACAACAACGGAACACTGAACATACAAAACTAACCTCCCCCCAAAAAAATAAGGCTTTTGCCTTTGTCTTCTAACTTTTAGAATTTGTAAGTAAGGTTAGGGGACCAGGACTTTGATCCTGGTCCCCTAAACTCCTGTTCGAGTGCCAGGAAAGTCGTGCAAAAGTCCTTTTAGCTTTATTTTTCATCGGTGTTATCAGACAAATATTAAGATACGAATATTTTACATAAAATTTATGCTCATCACATCTATTAAAAATAAGAAAATAGCTTATTAAATAGCACTAAAAATTTACAAAATTTTTTAAGAAGTTAAATGTAATTTAAAATGTAATTAAAGTAAAATGTAATTTAAAAAGTTGTTATAGGCTATAACGCATAGAGAAATTTCCAAAAATAATATATTATTATAATTAAAAACATAATGTAACACATAAAAGACAAATAAAGCAAAAATTCGGATAACAAAACACGAGATTTGAGGCACAATCCCATGTGCTCATAATTTACTTTAATACATTATTGAGAATCACAATATATATAAACGAAGAAACATTAATTCATTCCAAAACGAATATGATTATTTTAAAAATTTTCGTTTTGTTTAGAATACTAATCATATATGAGTCTAATGATATATAATGAGGTAAAATATCCTTGAAATATTATATATACAGTACAGTATATAGTATAGGTCAACGCTTCTTTACTGGATTAAAGTTTCCTAGATACTTAACACAGATTTATTCCTACTGTTTATGTTTCACTGGTTAATAGTTTTTCTTGTTTTGCAAACAAATCACTTTATATTTAAAAAGTTTTAATTAAATAACTATTATTTCAATCAATAATAAAAAAAATATAAACGTCTTTTCAAATTTTTATCATATAATTAAAAAGTTTTAACATTCTAGAAATTTAATAAATTATATACAATATAACTATAGTGATTTTATTAATACTCTGATAATTTCTATATAATAATTACAGTAATGTAATAAATAATAACTGCATAACTTACGTTTCTTTATATCTCTTGTTATGCTTTTGAAGCTTTATTCTCAAATAAGAAATAATTTCAGTCTCGTGAATTTTTATAATTTATGATATAGTTAACAGGAATTTTAAAAATTACCACATATTTTAGGCATTTTTATGCAACGAAAACGAAATTTCTTAATAATTTCCTGTTAAAATACGTAACGAAACAAATTAAAACCACTGGAACTTTTTCTCGCTATAAACTAGTTTTTTCAAGGTTCATTTCCTTGTTTTAGTGTTCGATCTTTTGCCTCGACAATTGACTTAATTGCTTAATTAAAAAATTAAAATCACAGAATATTTGATTTTTTATTAAAATAACTAACACTTATTTGTAATTATTAATTTAAATACAATTTCTAAAGTCATATAAAGGGCTCTATGAAGTCATATAATTATGGTTTTACAGAATTACTATATGAAAGATTATATGTCTACGTTAATTAAGAAACAAAATTAAATATTAAAATTCTAAATAGTAATTTTTTTCTTTTTATTTATAAATTCCTCATTTTTATTTCTTTCTTAACATTATTTTTTATTTTAATAATATGTTAATAATAGGAGTATCATTGATTCGCACAATAAATATGCCACATATTGTAATTAATTAAAGAGGTTCAAATCATTTCATATTTGTCTAAAAGAGAGAGGAAAATTTTAAGTAAATTATTTAATAAGTAAAAGTGATACTACAAAAGCTGGCCTTCATTCACACAATTACACACACCAGAAAAATCATTTAACTATTATTCAATGTGATTGATCATAGTTAATTGTTTATTATTAAATATATTTTTACTATAAGAAGTATATTAAACATTAATTAAATAGATTTACAATTAATAAATAATTTAATGACGCTATAATTAAAGGTCTTGAGGGCAAGAACACGTCAATTCAATTTCTATGAATTATTATAAACATAGGTCAGATATAATTTCCATACTCATGACCCATAACTTCTGATAACCTCTAATATCATTAGTCACTTGTCGTCTGTCCTAAAATACAGAGAAAATTTGGAACTTTGAGGTAATTCCCAGAGAAATTTGAAAAAAAAAAAAAAATGAGTTAACATGTTCTTGCCCAAGATCTTTAATTTGACTACATTATAAATAGACTATATTACTTATAATTGTAACAAAAAGAAACTCTAAACAAAATTCTTAATTGAGATTAAATAAAATATAATAAAAATTAACGGAATAAAAGTTATACCGAAATTCAAAGTAAACAATTAATTTTAATTTAAACATTTCAAGTTTCAAATTTTATAATTTAAAATTTAAAATCTGAAAATTATTTTGGTATATAAGTGTTCAGAGTTAAGCTTAAACAATTACTAGCAAAATCACTGCTATTTTAGATATAGGTAAATAAAATTTGTATTAAATTAAGTCATCATTTGAAATACAGTACCTGCGAAACTTGGTCCACTAGTGGCTGAGTTGTTTAATTCACTGAACACAAGTAATTTCGGGTTTACAGTTTACGTAGTGAACACAGATTATTCGTGGGTTAGCTCTCATTAGCGGTGGACGTGTGGAGTTTTCTGAGTTCTCTTCACGTTTATAACATCGTACGAGAGGAAGTTTTGCACAGAACATACTCTCTTGTCAGATCGCCTATGCATTGTGTTGCTGTATTCCGTCAAACCTAACCTTGAAAACTTGAATAAAAATTAAATTAGTCGTTGAAAGATTATAAAATAATAAATTTTTATTGAGTGAAATAGTTAATAAGAATATAGGGGAAATACGTACAAAATGACATATAGGTACAAAATGACATAGGCAACATAATTCGGTCTCAAGCTAGCAACTGACCATGACACCACGTTATCCGAGCGGCTCTTACTAACCTGTCAAAATGTGAACGCACTCCTCTCATTCGCCCGGGTATCATGGCCGACAACAAAAAATGATACGTTATAAGTTTTTTTCCTTGCAACAAGTTTTTTGTATAGATGGTAATTTTTTCACTATTTTATCTATTTGTGTAACATTTATTTCAACCCTCAAGAATTTGTTGTTGCACTTAAATAACTTTTTCCATTAAAAATAACATCTTTGTATTTATTTTATAATTTTGTTTTTTTTATAACGTTATATGGACAAAACGACATACATAGACAACGGACATAATGACATAGGCCTACCTGTCATTTAGTCCATAAGAGCTTAGTCAAGGAACTTACCTTAATCGTTTAACGTTTTATTAATTATCAAAAATGTCTTCCAAACAAAGTCTTTCATTATTGTTTAAAAGAAATTTTAGTATAAAACTTTATTTCCTTTCTTACATATTATTTACAAACTTATTATCTTTCACATAACAAAAAACTTACAACTAATCACGTGACTCGACAAACCTCTTTAGTTTTAACTTCTACTCCTAATATGAAGGCAATTAAATAAAAAAAATGTGTCCAAAGCTCCGCCAGAGAAAAGGAAACGAAATATTACTAAAAAGTTACTTGAAGAAGAAAATTTTCCTGATAACGCTCATGATGATGAAGAAGACTGTCCACGCATGTATTGCGATGATTTTTTTTCCCGATCTAAGCCTGGAGAAGACTGGTTACGGTGCTTAAATTGTTTCTGTTGGGCTCATGCTTCTTGTGCTGACGTTTCTAAAAGAACCAAGAGTTTCATTTGTGAATTTTGTCAGTAATTTTATAGTCTTTACGTGTATTTCATTTTGTCATTGCGTTAGTTTAATTGAGATTATCCATTGCGTTAGTTTAATTTTGTCATTGCGTTAGTTTAATTGAGACAAAATCCATTTTGTCCATATACTATGGACAAAATGGATTTTGGATAATCTTAATTAAACTAACAATATTTTTTTTTCTATTATTTTAATATTGTAAATGTTTAGTATATTTCATAGCTAAAGAACCAAAGATAATTGGTGTAGAATATGACAGTGATTTAATTTACCAATAAAGAGTTATAAACCTAAAATAAAACCGTATGTCATTTTGTCCGTATTTCCCCTAGTTCAAAAAATGTAAATAGTTAATAAGAAATATTAAATATAAAATCATACTGCCTGCTGTGAGCTTAGAGCAGTGTTTCTCAACCTGTAACGAATCGTCGCCCCCTTCAACGTAGTATCGTCCCCTTCAATAAAATTGTTACGTAGTACCGCCCCCTTTACTTCAAAATTCCGATGCCGAGAGCCAAGGCTAACGCCAAATTCGTACTGCATTAGATAGAGTAGTGACTAGTATAATGTCATTTGTTTAATTATTGTACGATATAACGAATAAATTATCTAATTATTCTTAATATAATGTTTTACTATATCGCCCAGAAAATTGTTTTTCGCTCCCCAAAATATAAATTGTTACTAATCGCCCCCTCAACATGGAAAAACGCCCACGTGGGAGCGATATCGCAATCGTTGAGAAACACTGGCTTAGAGTTATGAAGGAGTACTTATCAGGAGTTGCAATTTGGCACAGAGTATTAGGTGCCCAAATCATGCGCGCATAAAGAAACCAGACTTGTAGGTGCTCGGGGGACCGAGAACCGAGTCAAAATAAAATACAAAATGAAGACTCTCTCTACAAACAGGCACACCGAAATCAGGTGGTGAAAGTACCGCTCACAGTCGTTCCAGGAAGTGGACTCTGACCCTAGGACTGAACACGTAGTATTTTCTTTGTTAAATAAAATTTGTAATTTAGTTTTGTAAATTTAGGAGTACTTCAAATATGACATTAAAACAGGGTTTTATGTCGTTACAAGTAGGTTTTTTAACATTATCTAGTATAGTAAAATCGTGGAACTGATAAAAATTTGACGTTATATTAGGGTTGTTGTTATATCCGATGACGTTATAATCGGGTTAAACTGTATATTGTTTGCGCAAAATAAAAAAATAATTTCGGACGATACAATAACCACGATTATTTTTTCAAAAACAGGAAATTTCCGTTAGGCATCGACAAAACTTTAACCCGGGCCGACACACAACGGAGAGAAATTTCGAAATTGGATAGATTAATTTCATCGAAAATGCATCGTGGTCGTGGCCGGCGAAGTTTGAACGATCGCGCCCAAAAGCAGCGATACCAAAGAAGATTGGAGAATGAGAACGAGACCCGCCTTGAGCGTCAAAGTGATTCCGCTTAGTAGCGAGTCTCCGAGACATATTCTTGCCCCAATTACGGCCTTGCCGTTTTACTTGTTTTATATATAATATTTAATATATTATGTATAAGGATATTATATATATTTAATATCGAATATAGCTGTGAAATGTTTTTGTGCATGGGTATGTAAACACACACATATATACAGTATAGCCTAATATAAAAGATATATATATATATATACATACACTTAAAAATTCTAATTATAACAACGTAGGCCTATATATTTGAAAATTTGTCATTTATTTAATTATTAAAAGTTATATGTTTTTTGGCATAGTGAAGTAATGATGAAAGACAGATAAATTATATCAAGTGTTATTTTCTGAAGTACATCAGATCAAGTAATATACTTCAGAAAATATTGAATAATGGAAAAACTTATTTCTAAAAAAGTGGTCTTTTTAAATAGAAGATTTTCCATTATGTAATAATATATTTCAAATAACAAATATGTTATTTAAATCAATTTTTAGTTATTATTATTTGTCTTTATTTCAAATAACAATATTTTGAATAGTTAGCATTTCCAAATGGCTTTCATAATCCTTATTTCAAAGAAAATTTATAAATATGATTTTAAATATATATTTTCCAGAAAAACGGGAAAGTTTCTGTTTTGCATCAATAGTAAATTTACCATTTTACTAAATTTTTTTTTCTTTTTGAGTCAACTCAAGATTTTAGATCAGCGACTGGTTTTTTATGGCCACGAGTCAATTTTTTTGACTTGTATTTGATAATATATTCACCTAAAACTCCATAAAAAATAAAATATCACTTTTCCTTAAAACAAATTACTAGAGTTTCATCATCACTGATTTACAATGAAAGAGTGACGTCAAATTGACGTAAAAGTGTATACTTTCTTGTTCGATTCTGGTACTTCTATTCATGCTTTATTTCTTTACTCATAACTTAGCTTGAAATTAGAATTTAAAAAATTATTACGTGTATAAAAACTCAATAACTGTACGTATAAATTATATATTATCATTTATAAGCTTACATTTAATTTATAAATAAATCATTGGTAATAATTATTGCCTAATGAGGTTTGGTCATTTATTTTTAGGACCAAAAGTTGACTAATACTGAGTTTTAAAATTTTATACATTGTATTGATTCATGTTTTTCCAGGAGAAATACTTGACTTAAATGTAAATATGTAACTAGAATTACTCGTTATATATTTATTAAACTAAATTAAAAATAGAAATTATAATTCAAGGTAGCATGTAAGATGGGTAAATAAAAAACAGATGTTGTTTGGATATAATTTTGTATGCTTTTTCGTTAAAAAAAATGTAAAAAAACATGACCGCTGTTTAGAGGTGGTCGTTGTTAACGAGTTCGACTATATATTATTTTCTTTTTATAATTGCTAAAACTGTTGATTATGTTAGTAATCAACAGTTTTAGCAATTATAAAAAGAAAATAATTTAAATACATAAGAAAATATTTCAAAATTATAATTCTAAAATAATAGTAAATAATTTGTACATTTATAGACATATTGCCAATTTGGAAATGCGAAAGTGGTAGAACTGGTTCCATATTTTGAATTATACTTCTGAATTTTAATGAATTCACTATAAACTATAATTAAGAAGTATGAAAATGTAAACTATAGGATTGCAATTTTCAACTGTAGTCATCTAGAATTAATATTTCAAAGTAGATCAGTAAATAAAATGCCAGACAGACACCGCACATGTCAATAATTTCCACATATTTGAATTTTTTTCAATATATATACCTTAAGTTAATTTTAGACATGTTTATTTTAAATTATATGAATGTTTACCTCGGATCAACTAAATTGTTTTCGAAAAAATGTTAAAAAAGGAATATGCCAAATACATTTCTAAATAAAAAATAATATATTAAGTTCCTATAAAAAAAAAATAAGTCAGTAACGTATTGCTCAACTTTCCCGGCAACATTTAAAATTTTGGTGGTGCAATCTGTTATCATATTTTATTTTAAAAACTTTTTATATCATTAACTATTATAAATTGGCAAAAAGCTTAATTTTGAGGGTAGGAATGGGTTTTATAAAAAGTTGTAAATGCTAATAACGAGTAAAAATCGTCATTAAATCTGATCCTACTCGAGATATGACACGACTCCCTTTATCTCCCTATTCCCTCGACCTTAGGCGGGATGGCCGAGCGGTCAACGTGGCATCCTTGATCGCTCTGGGAAACCCGGGATCGGATCCGGAGGGGTCGAAAGATCCCCAGGAATTTTTCGGGGTTGATCCGACCGGATATGTCGGCCCCCGTCCCTCACCACACGACCACCCCATTGTTGGCCTGGCCGAACCCATAATTGGCTTGCTAAAAGAGGCCCTCTTAGTGCCTACAAAGAAAAAAAGGAGTTAAAAGAAACACATCTATATATAAAGAAATTATCCCCGAATTATTTTTGCATTTCTCGACGTTTCAGGGTATCCTAAGTCCAAAAATGTAAAAATCTTAAGCGTGTCAATTTTTGGCCGATC